AAATACAAGATTTCTTCTTCTTTTGCTTCACACTATCTGCCGGCTCCCAAATTTTTTCCTTTTCCCTCCTCGATTTTCTCCCAATTTTCGACCTCCCTGGTGAAGGTGCCCCCCCCCTTTTATAAAGAAATAGAGAGGACTCCAATCCTTTTTCTAATTCTAAATTCTAATCCCAATCCCCAAAATTACAGATAATAATCTTATCCTATTTGAAATTGGAATCCTAAAATTAATCTAGTCTTTACACATCTTCCCTCTTTTAAGGCTAGATTCATACCTTTAAAATATCAGGACTCCCAATTTGAATCGACTTCGAAAATCTTCTACGACTCTTGATAAGGGCTTCAAATTCGAAAATCTCTTCTTGTGTTGTTGTGATCTATCCAAACTTTGAATGGATTTAGAGATAAATCAAGAAGAATTTTCTGAAATTTTGGAGATGGTCGGCCGCAAAAGGAAGAAACGAGACTTTTGGGAAGCTAGGGTTCGATAGAACCTTGGGCTTTATTTTATTTCAACTTACAGGCAAAACGACGTCGTTTTGCTAGTTCTTCATCTCAGCCCTTCAAGCTTCACACTTTTTGCGAAATGGTCCACAAAATTTTACTTTTCTCACTTAGCCCCAATTAAAATTGGGTTATGACACCCCCTATGAAATTTACAAAGGAAGAAAACCTAAGATTTCCTACTTTAGAGCTTTTGGTTGTAAATGCTTTGTTTTGAACAATGGAAAGGACTCTCTTGGAAAATTTGATTCTAAAAGTGGTGAAGGCATTCTTTGTTGGATACTCTACTTCTAGTAAAGCTTATCGTGTATATAATAAACGTACTAAAGTTGTTGAGGAATCCATTCATGTGATTTGATGAGACTAACTATTTGCTCTAGAAAGTCTTGTGATGATGATGATGTAGATGCCATTGAAGAACAAATAAAGGATATAAATCTCAAGGAGGACAACACCAAGGAAGCTCAAGATGAGAAAAATGAAGAGGACAAACATGAAGAAGTGCAACAAAGACATGAGTTAAGAGAACCAGCTTTCCCAAGAGAGAGATCCTATGTCAAAGGTAATGAAATTATTGGGGATCCATCAAAAGGGGTAACTACTAGATCTCATACTCATAATACTTGTGCTTTCGTTGCCTTTATATCTCAAATTGAACCAAAGAATCTTGATGATAGTTTAAATGATCCTAATTGGGTGATGGCTATGCAAGAATAATTAGCTCAATTTGAAAGAAATAAGGTTTGGAATCTTGTTTCTAGACCTAAAGACCATCCCATCATAGGAACTAAATGGGGTTTTAGAAATAAGTTAGATGAGAATGGAGTTGTGGTTAGAAACAAGGCAAGACTAGTTGCTAAAGGCTATTGTCAAGAGGAAGGAATTAATTTAGATGAGACTTTTGCCTTGGTAACTAGACTTGAAGCAATTAGAATGTTATTGGCCTTTGCATGTTTTAAAGGTTTTACGCTTTACCAAATGGATGGTAAAAGTTCTTTTCTAAATGGTTATATTCAAGAAGAGGTTTATGTTGAGCAACCTCCCAGTTTTGAAGATCCATTTTATCCAAACCATGTTTATAAACTTTCAAAAGCGTTATATGGCTTAAAACAAGCTCCTAGAACTTGGTATGAAAGATTAAGTAGTTTTTTACATGCAAATGGTTTTTCTAGAGGAAGAGTTGAAACCACCTTGTTTGTGAAAAACAAAGGCCAAGATATACTAATTGTCCAAATCTATGTTGATGATACAGTGTTTGGTTCTGCTTATGATTCTCTTTGTCAAGAGTTTTCCAAAGCTATGCAAGGTGAATTTGAAATGAGCATGATGGGTGACCTTAACTTCTTCTTGGGACTTCGAATCAAACAATCCAAAGAAGGCATCTTCATCAACCAAAGCAAGTACACAAAGGAAATGCTTAAGAAGTTTGGCATAGAGCCTTGTTAGCCAATAGCTACTCCTATGAGCACTTTAATTAATCTAGACAAGGATGAAGGAGGTAAGCTTATTGATCCCAAACTTTATAGAAGCATGATTGGTTCCTTGCTTTATTTAATCGCAAGTAGGCTGGATATAATGTTTAGTGTTTGTTCATGTGCTAGATTTCAAGTTTGTCCTAAGGAGTCACACTTAGTTGTGGTTAAAAGAGTCTTTAGGTACCTAAAGGATACTCCCAACCTTGGTTTATGGTATCCTAAGGGTTCTTCCTTAAACTTACATTCATATTCAGATGCGGACTATGCGGGTTGTAGGATTGATAGAAAAAGTACAAGTGAAACTTGTCAATTTTTTGGTAATATGCTCATATCATGGTTTTCCAAAAAGCAAAATAATGTTGCTCTATCTACAACTGAGGCTGAATACATAGCCGCTGCAAGTTGTTGCGCTCAAGTGTTGTGAATCAAAACAACAAATTTTGGATTTTGGCATTACCATGGATCATATTCCCATTAAATGTGACAATACTAGTGCTATCAATCTCACTAAAAATCCCATGCAACATTCTCGCATAAAGCACATTGAAATTAGGCACCATTTTATTAGGGATTATGTTGTTAATGGCAATGTTGATTTATTATTTGTTGACACTAGAAATCAATTAGCTGATATATTTACAAAGCTTATTGATCGTGATAGGTTTTTCTTCATTAGAAATGAGCTTGGCATGTTAGATCCTAGTGCTTGATATGGTTCTTGAAATTAATGAATTTGCTTATTAGAATTTATGCAATTTGATGACTTTGTATGTGTGCCTTGATTATAATCATGTTATTTGTTGATGCACATATTGATATATGACTAAAATTGCATAATTTAATAGTTGATGTCCAATTTAAACTTAGTTAAATGAAGAAATATCAAATTAAGGTGCACTTTCTTTAGAACAGCCCCAAACCTTTTATTTGTACCAATCAAGGCCAGTACAGCAGACTGCAAATTTTTCACAGCCGACTCAACCCAAAAAAAAAGAAAGTTCGAACTTCCCAAGTTAAGCCAGCTCTAGGGCCACAGCCGGCTCAATCCGCAGGAGACCCGACCATTAAGCTTATGACTATGTTTTTCTTTGTTTATGGATATTTCTTGAATCTTTTATCATGTTTTGTGAATTGTAATGGCACATGACTTTGGCATGGTATTATATTAATGGCATGACTTGTGCATTTTATCATTATTAATGGTTGTCTATGATTTTGATGATTGTATACTATTATTGAGGGGGAGCAATTTGTGGATATCATGCTTAAATTACATTCTTTTTATGCTTTAAAGGTTGATATGCATGAATTAAGGGGGAGTTTGTTGATTTTGTTTATATGCTTTTTGATGGATGACAAAAAGAGGGAGAAAGTGTGCTGAATTCTTATGATTTAAGGTCATTTTCTAGAGTGTCTTGGTGCTGAAATTTCTAGTTAATATTGAAGTATATATGTGTTTTCATTAATTCATTCTCAAAGTATTTTGTCATCATCAAAAAGGGGGAGATTGTTATACCTATGATTTTAATGATTACAAAACACATTTGAGTGACTAATTGATTCATTTAAGTGTGTAGTTAAATTGCTAAAAGATTGCAAAGTAAGTAAACTTGGATTGCACTAAAAAGGACCAAAAAGGCTGAAAATGTGTAGAGAGCTGGCTTAAGGATATATGCAGCCGGCTTAAGGATATATGCAGCCGGCTTTGGAGGGAAAAATTGTAGAGAGCTGGCTCTAGAAAGCTGTAGCCGGTGCTATGGGCAAAAACTTCAAGTCTGAACTTTGGCACGCTGGTCAAGTTCAAAAATTAAGATGGCTTTAACTTTGCAACAGGCTATGAGGGCGTATTTAATGCACAATGGTCAAGTTATTTGAAGATTATTTAATTTTTTTAAAGTCAAAATCCCAAAGCCGGCTTTAAATTTTGCAGCCGGTTGTTTAAGAAAATAAAATGCATAGGAAACCCTCAGAGTCGGCTCTAGAAGTTCAAGTTGGCTGTGGAGCTGGCTCTGAAATTGTAGGCTGGATGTGCTCACAATTCTACAGTTCGAAATTACATGTCTTGTAGAGCATTAAATGACCCCCAACGGCTAGAAACGACTATTTTCAAGCAAGGGGCTATAAATATCTTTGGTAGCAGATCTGGAACAAATTTGAAGAGCATTATATTGAATATATCTACCTACAAACTTGTGTGTTAACTTGAGATCTTGATCTTTAAGTGATCTTTTCTTATAATCCTCTTCTTGTTCTATTTGTAAGTGATCTTGAGGGTGATTAATCCTTCAAGAGTGATTTGTAGAGAGGATTCTTGGGGTTTTAACTTGTAAAGGGGTGGGATTGGAGTAAAACACCCTTCTTCTTATAAAAAGATTGAGTGGCTCTTTTAAGCCATCATTGTTTTTCTTAGTGGGGAGTGTCATAACTCAAATTTTAGTAGAATTTTATTTTATTTTTATTTTTTTAACTAATATGTTTTGTCTTTGTTTTCCTTATTAGGTTCATGAGCAAAATGAGAGATTTTTGCGAAGAAAATTAGAAAAGGGAGATGAAAGAAATTAAAACAAGGGACTCAATTGAAGAAATCAAAAGTTAGAGGGGTGAAGTTCATCAAAACGAATTTACAAGTCCAGCCTAAAACCTATCAAACCCAAACCAAAACCCAAACTCAAACCCAATTACCCAAAAACCCAAAAAAAAGCCCAAAAAGCCCACCAACTACCCATTTAACCCAAACCCAAAAAAAAAAGGGGGAATAAACAAAAAAATAAAAGGGGATTTGGAACCGTTTTCTTCATCATCAACCTTCAGCCTCCAACCAACAAGGGGTTGGATCAAGTGGTAAGCGGCTTGTTCTAGCTTAAGCAGGTCTCGAGTTCGAGACCTTGTGTATGCAGCAGCTCCCGCTGGGAGACTCACCCACCATTTCCAGGTGCGTGACGCGGATCGGGTCTGGATTAGTCGGGGCGAAGCCCCGGATGCCGGGCGGGAAACCAAAAAAAAAAAAAAACCTTCAGCCTCCACCGCCCTCTGCATGAACCAGCCAGCCCCCCCTCTGCACCGAACCAACCTCCACCTCCCTCTACACGAACCAGCCAGCCCCCTCCTTCTGCACGAACCAGCCACCTCTCCCTCTGCACCAAACCAGCTCCCTCTCCCCTTGGCACCGAATCAACTTCCTCTCCCCATCACCGGCAATCATGCACTCTACACCCCCCCGTACACCCGAGCCCCAGTTCTGGCAATCATACCCCCTGCACACCGTGCCCCTACACCTGCACTCCTGTGCTCCCTCTCTGCAACCACATCATACTCCTCCTACGCCCTCTGCTTCTGCAACCCTCTATGCCCCTGCTGCTGCATCGAGCCTGCACCCCCTTCGCTTGCTGCATCGAGCCTGCACCCCCTTCGCTTGCTGCATCGAGCCTGCACTCCTACGCCACTCCTGCACACCTCCTATAACCCCTACTTGCTACAAAGCTGACTCCGCGCATGATGGCAGACCAGTGTTCTTGGCTGTTCTGCGAGGTCAATTTGGGCCTCATCTGATCTACGGTGGAAAGAAAAAGGGCAGATCGAAAGATTAGGAAGAAGAGTTCTTTTTTTTTTTTTGTTTTTTGCTTTTGCTTGTGTGGGTATAAATAGAGGGTTTTAGATTTGAAATGGGGGTTCTTTTGGTTGAGTTTGATGTTGCCAATGGCGAAAAAAAAAGAGGGTTTTCTTTGGAGGCCACGGTAGAAGAAGGACGCACATTTCTGGGTTTTTGCATTAGGTATGTTTCTGAATCAGAGGATTGTCATTAGGAAAATGGTGAAGGAGATGGTGGAAGCTTGATCTCGTGGGTGGGATTCCTTCCACCAGATCTAGATATGTTTTTCTTTCAAAAATTCACCGTGTTTTTTTTTTTATTTTTCTGTGGGTGTTAGTTCCTTTTAGATCTGATGTTAAGATTGTATGTGTTTCGTTTGAAAATGAATGAAAAATCAAAAAAATTATTCAGTTTATTTCTTGATGGATACATTTATCTTTGTTGGAAGTGAAATATATTCGTGATGAACCCTAGTTTTCCTGCTTTTTTTGCGTATTTGATCTTCCTTTGTCTGTGCTGATGAATGGTTAAACAAAAATGTAAATCCCTTTTCCAGATTTCATTTGTTCTTTTTTCCTTGTCCGATGTTTGATCTTTTTTCTTTTTTTGTTTTTTTTGGAAAGTGGCTTGTGTTTTTTTGGGCCTAGTAGATCCGGTCCAATCCAAAAAAAAAAAAAAATTAAAACAAACCGTAAAAAATGGTAAAGTAAAAAAGAAGAAGATAAGATATAGATAAAATGATTAATTAATTAAGATAATTAATTTAATTTATGATTAATAAAATTAATTAACTTTAATTAAAATAAATTAATCATATTTATAGATCTTAATTTAAGATAATTATGTCATTTAATTATCTTGATTAAAAATTAATGAATGTGATTAATTAATTTTAATTAATTTTAATTAATGTTAAATTAATCATTCAACTAAGTTAATCATCATAGTTAATTAATTTAAACCTTTAATTTCCTTTAATCTTGGTCACAGTCAAAATTATCTTTCTTTATTTCAAATTTCACTCAAAACTTTCATGATTAAGCAATTTAGTCCATGGGTCTCAACTCTTTTCAAATCAGTCCTCCATGTTTTTGAATTTAATCAAATCAGTCCATTTAATTTTTATTTGTGTTTATTGTGCATGCATGTTCTTGATTTTGTCCATTTCAGTCCAAAATTTAAAAAAAAAAATGCTGCAATTTGGTTTATCTCTTTTTCAAGGTTGTTTATTATGACCCAAATATAAAGATAATGAATAAGTTGAATTAAAACCTCAATGTTAAAGTATGCAATCGTGTCTAAACGGAGGATTGTGAGGTGCGCGTATACCTTTCCTCACTCCTAATCGAACCTTCGAATCCTGATCTCTGCGCATACCTGTTTTAGGTGATTTGTCCCACCTTATAATTTGGACGAGTGGTGACTCCCCTTTTCTTTTATATTTTATACTTATTTTTTCATTTATTTTGAGAAATTTTAAGTGGTCGTCAACAAATTGGCGACTCCACTGGGGATCCGAACCTAGAATCTCTGGTTTTCATATTCTGGGTTCACGAGGGTCGAGCTAATACATTAACTTTGGGAGAATTTTTCAGCTTTTGATTTTCTTTGTTTGCTGAGTCTTTGTTGGTCTTTGTCATTTATTGTATGTGTTTGTTGCGTGTTGCATGTTGCTTGTTGCTTGTTGCTTGTTACTTGTTTGCTCTTTGTTTTAGTGGTTACCTTGATTGTTTTGCCTTTGAGTAGTCATCTTGCTATATCTTGACATGGATCATACCTTGCTAACATGTTCATGCATCATATCATCTCACATGCTCATCCATCATTGATGTTATATGCATATTCATCATGCATCATGCTTACATGCCTACTTGCTTGTGTGTGGATATACTCACCTTTTACATTTGGCTATGGAGTACTCAGTGAGTCTCTTCCCTCTTCTGCGATTATTTATATCTTGTTGCATGCTAAGTGTGGGTTGCTTTGTGTTACTAACCTTTTGCATTTGGCACAGGAGTACTAGGTGAGTCCCTTCCTTCTGTGTAAGTAGCTTTGTTTGTGGATGATATATTTGTTGAGTGCTTTATATGTTTTATTTGCTTGTTTGCTTTATCTGTTTATTGTGGGATATATGTTGCTATTTTTGTGGTTGCCATTGTGCAGGTTATTGGGGTGTCATGCCCCTTTGCACACACTCACCCTCATTTTGCATTAGGTCCGTGTCAAAGGTGGACCCGACCTCTAGTCTGGAATCCTTACAAATCTGGCTTGGAAGAGCAATTCTTCTCGCTTTAAGGAGTAAGATCAGTTCTCGTTAGGTTGTTTCCATTGGTTAATATGACACCTGATGATGTAATATCGTCCTGTGTATTAGCTTTTAGAAATATCTCCCGTTGATTCCGAAAGGATAAATGGTTGAGAAGGCCTAATGCTCTTTAGGAAAACATGTATTGACCTTAGAGAGATACCAACCCTAGGACATGTTTCCCTTAGCATCCCACCCATGAGACTAGGCGTCCCGTGTTTAAGGCACAAAAGGGGCATTTTACTTCGCTAACCTTCATTTGCACATATGGCAGCTTATTTTCGCACACTTAATGAGGTATGGCATGTGAGGGTATGATTTTTGTTTAACTCTTTTAACCCGTGTGTTTAGGTAAGATCATGCATTAAACATGGATTTTACCGAGGATACAACTAGACAAGGGAAGAGACTTGGGGAGGATGTCATATCTCATTCTATTGTTGAGAAGGCTAAGGAGTCAATCTTTTCAGTCAATACCTCCAAACCTGACTTGAAGTTGCTGAAAGAGGCTTATGGCTTCTTGTCCTCTAGAGAGAAGCATGACTTTGAGGTCCGATTTGGGTGCATCGAGGATCTCTTGTCAATGGTGCCAGATTGGAACTTGTTCCGAGCTATGTTGAAATTCTATGTCCCTCAATATCAAGCTTTTGTGTTCCTGCACTTTGAGTTAGTGCCCACCATTGATGAATATCATTAATTCCTATGGTGTAGTCCTGTAGTGGATTCTTCTACTTTCACTCTCAAGCACAACATATGAAGTTCACACTAGAAAAAGTTCAAGAAATGTTGCAAGCTATGTGGGAGTTTCCATTTGAATTCTCACAACCATGGGTGACAACTAAAGATGATTCTTATGGGTTTGATCGGAATGCGACATTAATGGCTTTGGGAAAGAGATTGAAGGGCATTACATCTTCTCAAAGAATCAACTTTGTGGCATTGGGAATTTATGGCATGGTGATCTTCCTTATATATATCAAGACCATCACACCTATGGTCGTAGCTTTGTTTGAGCAATTGTCGCACACTTCGACATTCAATCCTGCTTCTACAGTGGTAGCTGAAACTTTGTGGTTTATGAAAGATATCCGGGCTAAATGATCCGACTACTTTTTGGGTTGCATCAAGTTGTTCACTACATGGGCACATGGTCACTTGAGGGGTCCTCAATTTGAAGCTTTATTCAGTGTTCCTGTGAAAGATAGAAAGACGGAGGATTGGCATCAATCACTTCTAGTAACAACTGTTAATGATGTCGGATTTGTTCTCCCGACTTGGAATGTTACTCAGTATCTTGCTCCACCCAAAAGACATTACTCTATTCCTTTGTTGGGTATTCATGGAGGGGTTACATATTCAGTGGAGTTGGCATCTTGTTAGTTTGGAAAAGCACAGAGCATTCCCTATTTGGATGACGCATTATAGTTGCACTTTGATTACCTATCTTCCCCAGCAATTGTATCTGAAGCACATGAGGTGTGGGAGAAATGTAGAATGCTACCTATATGGAAAGAGAATGGGACTAGACCACAATATGAGCAATGGAGATCGAGTTGGATAGTTAAGCTTTCTTTGCCATGGGAGGTGACAAATACGAAAAACTTTACCATCATGGACTTAATCGCTAAGTTGGAACTTAGCCATGCTCAAAGATGTCAGTTGCTAGAGAAGTATGATGAGTTAGCTCTTGATCATGAATTGCTTAAAAGAGGGAAGGAGTTGTTCGATCAACCAGTGGCAGGGTTGAAAGACAAGATTGCCTCTTTAGAAAGGGATTTGGCTGTTAGTAAGGAAATTTGTGGGAAGCAAACAAGGAGCTTGGAGTTTGTTGAAGAACAACAGAAAAAGTTGTTACGAGTAAAGGCGGATCTTAAGGCAAAGGAAAAGGAGAACAAAGAACTTGTGGAGAAAGTGATTAAATAGCAAGAGTTGAAAGGAAAAGTGATAAAGTGGAGTAATGCTTACAACAACTTATTGTCTGATTATAATGCTCTACAAAAGGAATTACGAACAACAAAGCAATCAAAGCAAGGGGAGAAGGAAAGCACAACTTGAG